TTCCTGATAACGTAGTGCAAGCTGAATCCTTGGGTTCCTTTAAATCAGAGCTAGATAAGATTTTAACAACTCTGAGCTATTAGTCAAGTCCTCCCCAAGCGAGCTCGATGGGCCGAATGGCCTCCTCTCGTTTGTATAGTTCTTATGTTCTTATGTTCTTATTACTCATCAAATGAACAAATATTTCTTTATGCTGTCCTTCGTTAAACAAAGTATGTATTTTGTCATGTAAATATCACATATGTGTGTATACATTAGTTCCTCAAATCTAACAGATTTCAGCAATTTAATTGGCGATTTTAACGTGACATAATCTGTGTCTGGGGTGCACGCGCTGGTCACACACTGGATCTGACTTTATCTTATAGTTTTGTGACAGTAATCTGGAAATATGTACCACCTGTATATCGGATGACATGTTTATCGCTAGCATCCCGGGGTCTGTTGGAAATGATCGTCCCCCATCCCGGTACAAGCGATTTATTAATAATATGATAGTAACCCACTTTGCTATCACTTTCAATCCTATTCCTACTATTTCTACGCTGAAAGACCAAAGTGTAGATTCTACTCCGGGTAAATTTTGACATGCTCTTTATTCCATTTGTGAATCTGCTCTCGATGATCTATTTCTCTTAATGTGCGCCCGAGAGGTAAGTCTCAGCCCAAGCTAGTGGACACCATCAGAAGACTTAAGCAAAGCTGTAATAGAGCGGAAAGAAAATGGGAGAGAAAGATAGATTTTAGGATTTCAGATGAAACCCGAAACCTACTTTCCAAAAGGCCATGAAATCTTCCAGAGCAAGATTTTACTCAGGAGTGTTTGCAAAATACAGCCACCTACCCAGGGTTCTTTTTAACGTTTAAACATTTTAATAAACCCCAAGACTGAGAGCGATATAGTAAATCTGCTTTGAGCTGTGATATATTATAGTACTGAGTCAGCTTTAATGAAAGTGACTAATGACATTCTGTTATCTGCAGGCAAAAATGACTGTGAAATTCTAATGTTAGATTTCAGTCTGCCTTTGACACTAGATCACTGAATTCTTCTAGAGTGGCTGGAACATTGTGTGGGTATTGAAGGTACTGCACTTGAACGGTTCTCTTTTTTTAGGGAAGAGAACCTATTCAGTTTCTTGTATAACCTAAAGTATGGTGTTCCACAAGGATCATCGCTCAGTTGTATTTTATTTTCATTGTATTTATTAGCCTTCAGGCATATTATTAATAAGCACGGAGTGTCATTTCACTGATGAGACACAGGTGTACCTCAGCCTGAGACCTGGATAGGCCTGGTGCATCGAATTTTTTGTTTATGGATGCGAATACATTTCTGAAACTCAAGGAGAGTAAGACAGAGATTGTAATTTTTAGACCCCCTGAGGGTGATTGGGGCCACACTAATCCGTATGCAAATAATCTTGATGTTTACCTGACTCGTCTCAAGTTTGAGAAGCAAATAAATGCTGTGGTTAAGTCCTCCTTTTATTATTTATTTAAGTAAGGCTAAGCCCATGTTTTCCTTTAGAGATTTCGATACCGTAATCCTTTTGTTTCATGGCGTCTAGATCACTGTATCAGGCTCTATTGCAGGGTTAGTCAGTCTTCACCGTCTCTTCTCCAGCCGGCGCAAAATGCCGAGACACATTTATTGGCTAAATCCAAAGCCAGTTGCTCCAGGGTCAAGGTGCAGATGGACCTTATCTGCTGCTGCAGGACGCGGACATGCTCAGGAGCGGTGCCCGGGGGGGGGATGGGGGGGGGGGTTCCCTGAACACCAGCTCGACCGGGGTATGACCGGGGTACGGAGCTCGCGGCCCAGCATCAGCATCATTGGGATGACAAGTCTGAGAAGTCCTGGACTGAAGTCTCGTAGGATACTGTCCGTGTTCTGGTGTTTTTTTTTTATTATTACAATAAAGAACAAATAGAAACATTAGCATAAAATATACAATAAAGAAAAAAAATACATTTTTAACATGGTTTATTGCTAGTGGGAATGTTCTCACGTGTCTATGTGACAGGTCACATTTTTAAGTGTGTGGTGCGTAATTATGTACAGTGTAATACTGCATTCCATTTACCTCAGATTCTGGAAGCTGGAGCGGGAAATGGAGTCATACCTGATAACCGTGTTCCAGTACAGCAAGTCAGAAAGCAATTTAGCAGTATCAGGGACCTGTTTCAAAAGGCAAGGTTTCTTGCTTAGCCAGATAACTTGACAGATTGAATTTATCCCAGTTTAAATGGTCTTTATATTTGTATTTGGCTCAGTCCACCTTATCCAGCTCTGCGAAAAGTCTTGTTTTCTGAAACGGGCCCCAGTTCTAGCTTGGTTAATTGTTAGTCATTCTCCGCCATATATGTTGATAACATCACATAGAACACTGTGATGTCTTTGTTCACAGATAGCGGTTGGACAGTATTGTGTGTACGACCGATTTAATGACCCACAAATAAAATGTAAGTGCTAATAAACAGTATAAAACTACAGCTTTAACTTCTGTTGATAAATTCTGTTAAGTTATAGATCTAAAATTCTGATGTTAGGGTTGTGTAGGTTTCTCTTACTTTCCCAGTTGGAATTCTGACTTCAGGGGCATTCTAGCAGAAATTTCTGACCAGGAACTCGGAATCTTCAAGTTACAAGTTCAAATGGAATGCATCATAGCATCCTCCTATTGTCCAAAACATATCAAGCGTCGTCTGCCTGTAACCCCTAGTGAGTGTGCTATGTAGTGAACACTATATAGTGAGTGAGTGAACAAGTGGACATTTTGCCTCAGTTTGCTGTTGACAGTGAGCAAGTGAGGACAGAGGGGTGTTTTTCTGATATTAAGATGTACTCGCACAATAAAGTAGGGGATCCCATCTGCCAATCCCTAGCCAGTATTCCAACGGACCACAGAATGCTGGGTGTTTAATAATAATTATTAATTATTCCCCATAAGGAAATTCTCTTTACGCCTCCCCCAACTTCATTCTGTAGGTGAGAGTAAGTTGTCTGTGAAGGACAGCCACCTGTCGCAGCACTCAGGGAGCCGGGGGTTAAGGGCTTTGCTCAAGGAACCACAGACTTGCCGAGGCTGGGCTCGAACCGGCAGCCTTCTGAACTCAGGCATGCACAGGCACGGAGCCACACGCTGTGGAGGTGGAGTTGGTTGATTCCCAAAAATTAATTATATACTTTCAACCACATGTTTTATTTTACAACCTTTATCTTCAAACGTTCTGATCCCTTGTATAAAAAATGATTAAGAATGGAAGCAGTTTAACTTTCTCTTTCCTGTTAATCTATCCACTCCACTAGTCGAGAGGTTTTACTGGTAACTTTTTTCCAGATCTCCTTGATGTTTCTTATCTAACATGTAACGTAAAGGGCTGGATTCGTCCCTTTCAATCGTCCATAGTCCTTATGATTCTAGGGCTAACTGTACACTAACAGACTTCGAAAAAAAACTCCAAAAAGACTTTTCAAAACTAAGACTAGGGATCTTGCAGGGTCGCTGTTTGCAAGATCAGAACTAGATTTCTTTTGTTTTTGCTGTACTTTTGTAATACAGACCGTGTTTCACTGCTATACATTTGCGTTTGTTGCAATAAAGAGCCCAGTTCTTGCAAAATGTGTAGGACTGTTTAATCAACTTTTTTCTGTAGAATGCAGTGGAAATGCCATGCAACCTGCGTTCAAAATATTGTACTTCTGTACTGTACCTAATATTATTTCAAAGTCTCCTCCATACCTGTCTGCCCTACCCGAGATCCTGTACCTGTGTTGCTGTTTGATGTTTGGTGCTGGAGGGAGCTGACATATTGGTTGGTGACAATGTCCACCTCACTATTTGCATAAGTTAGTATAAGACCTATGATAATGTTAAACTCGGTTGATTTTATTGGGAACGTCAAGACAAGATAAAGACTGACATAGGACGGCTATCCTGGCCCCCTTAATCCAAACGATGGAGATGACGGGAACGCGCCACTTCTCAAAACTCTCGTGATTTTACTCGGATGCTGGAACTTTGTCTGCGACAGTCAAATCCCTTGAAAAGTCATTCGGTGTTTGTGGGGCCAGTATCAGTGACTGAAAGATCTTCTGGAAGTTTAGCAACATGATATATGGAAGGACAACGCTTAAACGGCTGATTATGATTGTGTACAGATATGTCCAATAAGATGTCAGTTTGATTATCCTCACCACTCACCTCATTGTGACCACTCTCTCTCTCTCTCTCTCTCTCTCTCTCTCTCTCCCTCCCTCCCCTTCTCTGCTGTCTGGCCCACTCAAGACTACCTGTCCATACAGGACAATGAAAATAACCACGCGATGGCGGGTGAGACATCTGTTATGCGTTCTGCTTATGTTCTTCTTCCTTGGCATCTTCTTCCTGTCCACCAGTCCACAACTCGGTGTTCCCAGCGGAATCCCCCACATGTCCCTCGACAGGTAAGATCACTACCCTTTGTCCAAACCAGTCCAGTGGCTTCTGCTGTTGAGGATGAACTCTGTGGTGCATCTTCCCGTGTAGTGATGTGTCCATAAATCCATAGCTAAATAAAAGACTGGAGGAAAAGATGGCGGAATCTGGGAGGGGGGACAAGACCTGTAACAAATATAATAGATATTTTATCCAGTATAGTTTGGAAGTTGTTTCATGGGAGAGATGAATTTGAGAGAGAGAGTGAAAAGGGCAACATGTTTAATAGAGTAGATGGATGAACAGGTGTATGTGGATGTATTTTCATTTTAATACTTTGTATTTGTATAATTTAAATTTCTTTTTAATGTCAACATTTCTGTTACTGTGAATAGCTAAGCAAGTAAAAGATGGCACATTTATGTAATATTCAAAGCAAGATTTATTTCTGTGTTTCACCATTTCAAAATAACAAAAGAAGAAAACGGCCTGAGGCAAATGTTTGTGCAGCCTGCATAACCAGTATGCAATAACACCCTCTTTGACAAGTATCACAGCTTGTAGACATTTTTGCAGCCAGTTTTCAGATCTTGCTTGGGGGATTTTTGCCCATTCTTTCTTGCAAAATGCATCTGGTTCTGCGAGAACCTTTGGGCTGTCATTCACGCACTGTGTTTTTTTTTTTAGATCTATCTTTAGATTTTCAGTGTTGTTTAGGTCAGGGGACTGTGAGGACCAGGCCGAAACCTTAAGCTTGTGCATCTTCAGGTAGCCCATGGTCACTGGTGGAGAAATTACACAACTCCATTACTTAAATTTCAAGCATTGGAGTTCTTTAATTAAATACATACTTTAGTACATTTTCTTTTTAATGTCAACACATTGTTACATTGTTGCCACAATGCAAACAACCTACTGAATGCACTGACGTATAGCCTGTAAAATGAAAAACTTGTGGAATATGCTATAATGCCTCTACAAACACAATTCAGTTGACAAATGGGCAGCTATTGCCATTCTCTTTCTCAACCCCCACCTCACCACCACAAAACAGCATGGTAGTTTTCTGACATAGCTTTGGCTCTGTGTGTTTGTGTGTGACATTTTTCTGATCCCCTTGTCTCCTATAATATTCTAGCAATCCAACGAGCAGTTCTTTCAAAAAGCTTTCTTAGTCTATCAGACCTCAACTTGACCTCCACTGTGCCTGTTAACTGCCATTTCTTAATTACATTATGAACTGAGGAAATTACTACCTGAAATTACCTTCTTGTATGTTTCTACAGTTGTTGCCATTTTCAGAGGGCTAGGCAGCCGCTTAGAGGAGCCCATGACAGCTGATTGTTGGGATAAGGATTCAGGAGTCTGTGTCTTTCACAGTATTTACAAAGCATTGAAATTTGCATTACCTGGCCTTTGCAGTTGTGACTGTGAACAAGCCGTAGTCTTAGTGAGCTAATTAAGATCTGAGACCTTGGTCAATGTTATCTGAGAGCTCAAATCTCTTGGGGTGCCTAAACTTTTGCATGGTGTTCCACTCTAAAATTCTACAAAAAAATTCACTAATCTTGCATAAAAATGTTTGAGAAGAATGTGTCATCTTTAACTGTCTTTGAGATCAGTTCATCTTCTGCTCATTTAAGTATTCAGAGTAACAGCAATTTTGAACAGGGGTGTTCAAACTTTTGCACACCACTATATCGTCAGATTGGTTGTGCAAATGAATTATTGAAAACTATGGGGGAGAAAACTGAATACAATACTGTCAGAATGTGAAGTAAACCCTGAATAGCAGATCTTGGGTCAGCCTGCGTACATACAAAGCTCTGGGGGTATTTGGCAGAAAGTGAAGTGTCCCCAGAATGGTGGTCCCACCTGTCTGCAGTCACCTTGGTGTCCGTGCATCAAATTGTCTAAGGTGTTTGCAGCTGTTATGCGGCAATCTTGAGTCATTGTTTCATCAGTTACATGGATACAGTGTCCGTGGAAACCTTTTAAGCTCTTGACTGTCTGAGATCATGTCCTCCTTCTATCAACAGAATCAAGATTGCCTTCAGAACCACTGAGATCCCGAAGATCTTACACGCATCCACGGCTCCTGCAGTGGTAGGACCTACAGATCCTCCTTACATTGGTGACAAATATGCCCAGGAGGACTCATTTCCACAAAGGGTGAGGTTTTGGGGGGAAAATGCATTAAAAAGGTGCACATCCTCCAAAACTGTTTAATTGTAATTGTGTCCAAAACCCTACTCTGCTCAGGTCTGCCAGGATAGCATACGGCAGAAAGTTGCAGGGACGATTTTCGAGCCAAAGATCCTGCCCAGGATCCCTGTGTTGCAGTGGCACAAGCACTTTTCTCCAGAAGAGTACCGTCGCCTTCAGAACTACCCTGGATCACATGGCTGGGGGGAGGTTGACTACCAAAGTAAGAGAGGCTCTGTTTGACTGTGCATGATTTTTGACCAGCTGTTGTTTGTACTTTAATTATCACCTTTTACATACGTAATACATGATCTTCAAAGTGAAAAATCTGTATTTGTCCAAGCATTGTAGCACATTCAGTCTGGCAATAAGGGGCTATATGTAGTCATTTTAGATGAAACTTCACATCCACACATACAATAAATAACAGATAATTCATAGTTTTTTCTAATCATTCTTGATCAGAATGCACAAATGTAAGGGTTGTAAAATTAAACCTCCCCCCTCCCCAAATATGTGTGTATATGTCTCGAAGGAGAGTAAGCGGGATACGAAAAAGAAGCATTCCAGTATGCCTGTGCCTGTGCAAATGGCAAATGAAGTATTATTTCATTTAATTTCATTTCATAAAATTCTGGAATTTTCCCCCCGTCGCCTTTCACCCAGTCTTGGCTGCATCCCTCACTCTCCTCAACACCACGGCCAATGGGCTCATGTTTGACGACTGGGAGAGTCGGGCTAATGGCTCCTCCTGCATCCGCTGTGCAGTGGTGGGGAACGGGGGAATCCTTCGTGGCTCCAAGATGGGCCGCGAGATCGACCAGCACCACTACGTCTTCAGGTGAGGGACCACATGTCGCCAAAATGGCCCGACTCCACTAGAAGCTGCAAATGCGTCATCAGAGAGAAACCGGGCATCTTTCCTCCAGGACGAACGCAGCGGTGATCCGGGGTTTTGAGGAGGATGTAGGATTACGCACTTCCATCTACACATTCTCCACCAATACCATGCGCAACTCCATCCTTTCTACAGCGAACCATGAGGGACCCCCTAAGTCCGAGGTGAGAACCTCCTCGTGTTACCACTGGTGCTTCCTCCTATGTATTGACATATTGTGAAACTCAATGTTTGATGTTCTACGGGTTGATCTCGCATTACATCCTCGAGGAGAACACTTAACGTAAATTCTCAAAGATATAACCCAAGACAGTAGTTCTAGTTAGGTGAGCATCTAATGATCAAAAAGTGAAAACTAGCCAAAACAGGTACAAAAGAAAAAATGTCCGGTTGGAATGGCAACAACTAATCTCTGTAACTCCGCCATGGCCGTTGCAAGCCTGGAACAGAAAGGAGTAGTATTGGGCAAGGGATGAGGTACCCCTCCCCATAATTCCTTGCTAACTGCAAATACACATGAGACACTCAGGACATCTCAACCCCAGGAGAAGATGGACCTCCATTGAGAGGACCTAGGATGCAGGCAGGGGTCCCAGAAGCATCTGCAAGCTTCCCAGCTGCCTACCATCCTTTCACCCAGTGCCTAACATGACACCCAACAATTTATCTCTGTAGATGTCACCTTCTTGAACCATCACCTCTGCCTGTCTGAGAATTTCACACAGACCTCTCCTTCACAGGAGACCAGATATGTCTTTATACCAGACCATGACCAGGACTACGTGTTGGTGAAGGCCGCTGTGAAAGACACGCCTGTGGAGAAAGGGCGAGAACGCGGCGAGATGTAAGGGGACGACAACTAGGAGTGGGTCATGTGACACAATGTGAGAGTCATGTGACACAATGTGAGAGTCATGTGACACAATGTGAGAGTCATGTGACACAATATCACACCATGATTTTTTATTGTGGCAGGATCACAATTTACAATCTCATCACGATTCTTTTTTTTTTTTTGTCGGCATTTAAAACTATTTTGCAAGTTACCCAACAGTACAACCAGGCTAATTCCCCAATTTTAAAAAATATAGCCTAATAAGGTAATAAAACCTAAAACGAAACAATAACAGCATACTAATTTCGGGTGTTTTTGTTTGAGGGTTAAAATGGTTTGCCGGTAATACTTGTATATTAAAAGTAACAATTAGTAATATAATTGCATTATACATACCATCATAATGCATTATAATGAATTCATAAAGTATTATAAATATGGGTATAAATATTTATAACAAAGGCCATGTTCATTATGCATTATGAATGCTCTCATCTATAATGCACTATAAATATCTTCATAATGCATTCTTTATAATGCAATCATTTGACTGCTTTAAGTAATGTGTTACCGGTTTGTCTTGTTGCCATCTGGCATGCAAAAGGTATCCTACCTCTTTGTGCCCTGTTGGTATTGGATGATGCAAATAACTTCTATATTACTGGTGTCATATTCTTTTTAAGGACCAACTCCTCCATGACGTCTATGTGTCGCATGTTGGGGCAAAAGGGAAAATGGAAGAAATCCAAGGCACTACCAACTGTTTGTTGTTACCGGTTTATTAATGTGCCGAAATGGATTTAGCTGACAAAACAAAGATGGGTATATGACTCATAGAACTGCAAGTAATAGAGCATGCACTGTAGCGAGATACTAACGATATCTCTCTGAAGGCAGACTGTAGAGAGATTTTAATAATCCACGACCGGGATCTGGTAGAGGTTGAAGTTCAGGGGCTGTTGGGTTGGGTAAAGTGTCTAGTGTTATACCAAAGAGAATCACTGCTGTCATGTAACCGTGTGGAGTTAGTTTGGGTTTGGGTCCATCGATCTGTTCTCCTTTCACTCCAGGGCATCCAAATACTTTGGCCCCAACGTGACGGCAAGAAAGTTGAAAATGTATCACCCAGACTTCATCCGCTACCTGAGAAACAGGTGAGACTGGGCAGTTACTGTTGATACTGTGAGCAGAATATGCTTTTTGAGGGCTATAGTGCTAATCCCTTCTGGAACACTGTGTTCTCCTGCACCTCTCAGGTTCCTGCGTTCCCCGATCTTGAAGACCAGCTACTGGAACTTGTTCCGGCCATCCACCGGTGCCGTGATGCTGCTGGCTGCCCTGCACACGTGCGATCAGGTAGAGATGCACCCGTCCGCTTGTCGTCTGCCTCCCCTGCTAGACCTGCCCTGTCACTGATGCGTTTGTTGCATGTGCAGGTCTTTGCTTTTCGCTCTTTCTCGGGTCTCTGTATGTGGACGACTGTATAACTTCCTAACAACGTGCATCCCATCCAAGGAGAGCCCTGCCAGATTGCTTACGCATCCCATGATAGGTTCTGGATGTTTAGAACGTGCAAATTCGATGCCAGTAACATCATGATTCTGTCATTACCCAAGGTCAGCGCCTACGGCTTCATGACCCCCGACTACCAGAAGTACTCTAACCACTATTACGACCGGACCTTCCAGACTGTGCAGTTCTTCTCCAACCACGACTACCGCATGGAGCTGAAGCTCTGGCAGGAGCTGCATGAAAACAAACTCATTCGACTATATATGCGCTAGAGGACACCTGAGACATCGCCCACGAGAAACAAGAGAGCCGTTGATAAGCCTTAGACATTCCAGATGCACTTCCTATGTTGTATTTTCTGTTTTCTCCAGTTAAATGTGAGGATATTGTTGTATAATAATGTATACTACACCTGTTTATGTTACGAAGTTAAGGCATGTTTACGTGCTGTTTAGGAATGTTCTATGGATGCATTATGAAGGTGCACTGAATTATAAAGGCATTACGAAGGTGCAGTTAATGCAATGTGTTACCAAACATTTTAATATTAATTTCTTATATCCTTTCTAATTTTATGTGGTATTACTAAATGTGAATGATAAATATTGTTGATATTTATTTTCAAATAAAACCAGAAAACCTTTCTCATAGAGAAGGAGAAATATGGTTTGTTTACACAGCTGTTACGTGTCTTAGGTACGGGGCTAAACCTGGACTGCAGCCCAGTGCCCCAAGTTGTAGGGGGCCCGAAAATCTATTTTTCTGTTGGTTGGTGTTTAGCACTGTCGCCTCACATCTCTGGGATCTGGGTTCAAGTCTCTACCAGGGTTCTGCATGTGTGGCGTTTGTATGTCCTCCTCGTGTTGTCATGGGGTTTCCTCTGGGTACTCTGGTTTCGCCCCCCACTGTCCAAAAGCATGCTGAGGCTAATTGGAGTTACCAAATTGACTACTGGTGTGAGTGTTTGTGTACATTTCTGTGTGAATGGATGGTTGTTGCACCAGCGTTTTATGCCATAGGTACACGCTAATAAAAAAAGGTAATATTTGTACCTTTGCTTGTCACTGGGGCTGTACCCTCAAGGATCTGGCAATTATACCTTTAGCTGTAGGTAATTGTACCGTTTTGTACCATTTCTGTACCTTAAAAGTATACAGCCGCAGTGACAAGCAAAGTACATCTTTTATCCTTTTTTTCTGAGAGAGTGCCCCAGCCCCCTAAAATAGGTCCTGCTTTGGTAGAGGAAAAACAATGAAGTGAAGTACCAGGATTGATTTTCAGCACCCCCATATCCAAGACCAGGTCATAAGAAAAGACGCGTGGTTTACCAGTCATTCTATATCCCTTTCCTCAACAGAAATTCCAGAATTTTTAAACTGGTGTAAGTGGTCTTCCAAGCCCATGTTGTCATACACTGACATCTAGTGGTCGTGATGGATAAGTGTGGCTTGGCTCCTTTTGCTTCCTCTGCACTATGGTTTGAAGCGCGGCCTTCCATCTGTTACCACGTGCTTGTGTTGTGGCCCCCATGATGGACAGGATGCACCTGGCAAGAGAGAAGGGGGAAGAGGAAGAAGGAGAATGGTGTTGGGCAGAAGGGAAAAATAACATACCCATATAAATTTTGAAAGATTTTCCTGCACCACAGAGTACCACGAAATTAACCTTTAATGTGGTGGGCAGCATGGGGGCATTTAGACTGGCAATAAGACTTTTAATATGCCAACTGGCATTAGGACTATAAACTCACTTCTGCATGGGATCAAGTGTGACCCAGGGCCCTGTGTGTGTGTGTGTGTGTGTGTGTGTGTGTGTGTGTGTGGCCCTCTTCTACCTCATACAGTCTTTGTATCACCATGGCCCTAGATTATGTATCGAAAAATATAATTCATTTTATCCTAATATTTATATATCTTTGCCCCCCCCCCCAAAAGTGATGTACAAGGGTCCAATAAATGGGTCTGTCCATTTATTGGACACCCCTGGAACATTTCAGTGAGTAAGGGCCTCATTCTAGGGGCCATGAGTCATGTGACATGCCACCCCCTCGCACTACAGCCCAACAGTGAAGTTACTCTTTACATTCCTTGAATGTCTGTATGTTGCATTTCTGCCTCTTGAATAGTCTTACTTGGTTCTTGCCTTGTTAGAGGCTATTGTATAGCTCCTTTTCCAATACCGCTTACTTCTGTAGCTGGGCATTCACTGGAAGCTCAGCCTGGCTGACTCTTTGACCGCATATATGTTTGCAATGAGCTATATGCCTTCACTCGTACATCACTTTGGACTAAAGCGTCTGCTAAATGTGTGAAATGTAAACGTAAATACACGAGCACCATCCTGTCGATCACGGAATCGGCTCCATTTGCTGTAGTGTAGCTGGACCTGCTTTCAGTCGCTGGCGTATTACGACAGAACTTTCCCAGAATGCACTACTGAATATGCACTGAGGTGCTGCCTTACAGTTGTTTACCATACCTGGCTAATCTTATTTCCTTCAACTCTGTATCGGTTGCCTTACATAGTGCACAGGTTGTGAACTGCAGGCAAGCCACACACTCTGAATAAAATACCCCTGGCCTACCCTTCCCCCCCCCCCAACATGCAACCTGTCCTCATATTTATTACATTGGCTAAGAGGTCGTCAATCTGCTTCCTTCCATCTTGCCGTGCCGGTGACTTTCGTGCCCCTCAGTCAGTTCCTCACCAGCACATCGGGACTCCGTTCTACCCCAGAACACAACTAGATCGGGTCTCTTTCAACCCTCAGGTCATGGCGAACCGAAAGCACACGGAGTGCGACACAGCCTCCGATTCTGTGCGATTGAACCCATATTGCAGGAACATTGTTGGGGAGTCATCATCACATTTTATATCTTTGCTCCCAGAACTGGGGGTGTAGTAATCAAGTTTGCAGACCTTTAGTTTACTTCCCACCCTATTGCTGACCAGGTGGGTTTTGATGCTTAAATTGGAAACGTTCAAAAGATATAATCAAAAGTAGGTGTATGGTCTTCCTGGGACTAGGAGGGAGATACTACCAAAGCTATTGAACAAAAATCAGGCTACTATGCCACCGTACTTTCTGCAGCATGAAGAGGATGAGACAGGAAGCTTTGCAAATTTATCAGAAAGGAGCAGGATGTTTTTTTTTTTTTTTTTTTCCTTTTTTAATATCTTGCTTTGCACTGATAGCTGGGGTGCGACTGACATTAGAATGTGCTGTAGGTTAAACTTTAACTCGGCGTTTTTGTCAAGGATGTGGGGGAAAAAAAAAAGGTAGGAGTGGATGGAAAACAAAAACCTAAATCAAAATGGAAAAAAAAACATGAAACAAAAGTTTTTGACCTGTGTCTCATCTTCACGGATTATGGCTGATCTAGTAACTACAGTTTGGTCACGTAAAATGATGGATTTGGAATTGTGGACCATAAGGAGACCTCAAGCCATTGTAACTGTTATAGTTAAAGCTAAGGCTAATAATATTTGGCAGGTTTGCTCCAAGGTCCATATTGTAGACTGATCACATTGTAGGTAATAGCAAATAGTAGAGTGATTTTTCTCTTCCTCTACTGTGACATAAAACTGTATTCAGAGCAACCCAGCTGTAACGTCTTGAAATCAAAGTAAACAGCTATGACATCATCTCTGTCATGCCCTGCCCATCTGACCCTCGTGTTTCCTCCTAGCGTGTCCCTAATGAGCCAGGCTTGTTAATCATTTATCTTATCTCTCCTATCTCTTTCTCTTTTGTCTGTTCTGGTTAGGGGTTGCTCCAGCAGATCATCTGTTTCTGTTTCTTCTGTCTTACACCTCATTCCTGCCCTTGTGTTACTCACTCCAGCTGCCTCTCATTTGGCTCCTCATCAGCTCTGTATAAAAGTGCTTCCCGGTACTGTGTTCCCCAGTCCTCTCATTAACATTGTACCCCTGTGCCCTGACTTCCTCTGTTCTTTATCCCCTGAGATCATGTTTTTATTTTCTGGCTACTGTTCCTTTTAAATCCCTTTTTTTTACCTTAACACCTGCTCCCTCATTCCTAACTTACGACTGACGTGACAATCTCAATCCAAATGTCCGTGTTACGGTGGTTCTTTTCTGAAAGGTGTTTGTAGCAGAGTGACAACAGAAGACCTCAAAAATATGCATCTGAAAAACCAATGAGGTTGATTAGTTCAGTGGACCGTCAGGATAATGATTAAGAATTCTAATTTTATTGAAACAAGGTGACCCTTGTTCTTTGTTGTAATCAACATAAATACTTTTCATCACAACACCCAAATTACTTTTTAATCACCCTCATCCTCATTCACTGCATCAGGCTTAATTGACAGTGATCAACACCTTGCAGTAATATGAACAGGAATGGGTAATTTATCAAACCGGCTGGTTCCAGTTCCTCAGAAGCGGCATTGCAAGCAATGGAAATAGCCTTTCAGTGGAATGAGCTGTAACACTCTGCTGTATATGCTTTGACAAATAAACAGCAGCCTGAAACTGTCAAAATGTTCAAAAAACTCGGGAGAAACCAAAATCAGAAGGGTTACATGGTGTTAATGATCATTTCCTACAGCAGGGGTAGTCAAACCCAGTCCTCTAGAACTGCTGGGTGTACGGGTTTTTGCCCTGCCTCACGTCCTAGTTGGTTCACGTCAGTAATTACTGGGATGATAATCTGTCACAGCTGGAATTTAACCTGTCAATCAAGTGCTAATTAAAATTCCTCATCAGGATCAACGCTGGCCACCCCAGTTTCACAATCTTTTCTTCGTGCTTTGGTGTCCTATGCAATGGATCCATATAACAGAATGGTGTCCAGTGGAGGTTTTGTATTTAATTAGCCAGACATTGCGGTACCGCTGGATGACCGATCATAAGGTGTCTGGTTTTTAAACATTAAGTCCAGGGGCTTTAAAATCAATGCACGGGTTTACCCGGGTTGAATCCTATGTTTATTAATATACCCTTGTTGTCTCCACCCTCCGTCGAAAACGTTTACCGTTGTAACTTTGGATGGATGTATTAATGAATGCACAGAATTTTGCTAACAGTTTATACGTACATTCTCCAAAACTACGAGTGTATTATACCAACATGCGGTTTTTGCGAATAGGAGGTGGTTGTAAAGTGGTCAATTATGCATGTGATGAACCTGTCATCATTCTCCGTAATGTGTTTATTTTACGCTACGTCTTAGTAGTTTCAATGGCAATTTGCTGAAGTGGAGACGCACTTTACATGTGTAGAGCTCTCACGCATCCGGCCTGACACTCACGCAAGAAACCTTACGGGTAATCTACATTATTCCATTATAAAACAAAAATTTTCCACAACAAAAACGTTGGGGCTTTTTGCAAATCCTACAGACTATTTACAAGGTAATAAAACTGTTACATTCTTATAAATGTGTGTGCAGACTTGTCTCGAACTGAAAATCTCACGCCAGCCAACATGACTGAAGTTGGCAGCCCTGCAGACTACATTTATACAACCTATATTCTTCTCACAGAATTTGCATGTATATTAACGGTCTTTATAAAATATGAGTATGGTATTTAATGAATAGAAAGATGGTCATGAAAACATCATCGGCGCAGCGGTAATAAAACCGATGTCACCGCCGCCATCAACCCCCCCTCCCGGCCCCTTCTCCTCCAGGGAGAGATCGGAATATTTATTTTCATTATACCAAACGATCAGTTAAATGCAATGATCACAAGTGCGAAAGACTGTACGAAGCAGTTCGATCCACCTCCCCGGTCAAAGCGAATGAAATCGCAGTGCGTGCCATCGCACCCCCGAGGCGGACACAGCTGCAGACCTTGCCTCCGACCTCCAAAGCGCTCGGCTGTCAGCGAAGACCGATCTGTCAGCGACGTGAAGACAGGAACACGCTGACGGCATATAGCGGCTCCTGCAAACGAGGGTCACAGCCATGCCTTTATAAAACACGTGACGTTCATTCCCAACGAAACTGAACCCAATGCAAAGCTGCACGTTTTATATTGTATGTAAGAGGAGGGGTTACGTTCATGACTGTTACCAAAAATTGCCCTTAAAATAATTAGAACTGCAAAAGCCATGCTGTACTATAATTATGCTATTATACTAGCATCATAATTGTTACTACCCTAGCTGTATTACTAACAATATTATAACGACAAAGGAAACAACACGTGCTATTATTATTATTACCAAAAATAAACTGGTAATGCGTAGAAACAAAGAATGATATTTAAGGCCTCTTTCACTGCCCCCTCCTCCCGCACCGCCTCCTCCTCTCCTGCAGATTCCGGGGCGACAGAGTCAGTGTGATTCCGTATAACGGTCCATTAGGAAGATGGCGCTCTCCCGGGCGACACGGCTCCCTCACTTACACCCGATCCAGCACCCAATGAGTGGCGAAACTGGCTTTTCGTAGCCCGAGCAAAAAATAAATAAAGGAAAGCAACAATAAGAACAGCAGGAATTCTTTTTTTTCTTCAAATGCATATGTTTTGTTTTTAATGTTATTTGCTGGGCGGTGCGGGAAAACGCGTGCTCATCGGATCGAGGGGATGGAGAATCGCGAGCCTGGCCGAGCTTTGGTGCAGAGACAAGGGGGGAAAGGCATTTAAATAAACAGCATCACGTTGACACGGCGCTCTCCAGCATCGCTTGCTTTGCACCGACACTCGCTACGCTGCACCCAGCGGCTGGATGCTCGAATACGGCTAAAAGGGTGTCGTTTTGCCGATCAGTCAGCGTCTGTGGTCGGTGAGGCAAAAAAAAAAAAAAAAAACAGAAGGGGACGGAAATATATGCAGAGGTTTGTTTATTTTATGAATCGGAAATTTGGAGCGACGTTATTTGGGACACCGAGAGGGTTTGAGTAAAAAAAAATGCAACGTTTGAGATGCCTCGATTTTAATTCTATATTGGAGAGCAGCTGTTTATTCTGATTTCCCCCCAAGTACTGCATTGCAACATCCTGACTGTCACCAGGCGGAGGATGTCAGCGGCTGTCTTCATGATGGTCATGTCTGCATCTTTTTTCAACCCCAGTTTCGCCTTCAGTTCGCATTTCGACACAGGTGAGTCTGAAATTCCCTTACATCTCCCCCTTAAAGAAAAAGTGTGAGTGGAGCGCCGGCTGGACCCATCCCTAGTCCATCCTGGTCGCACGTTGAGATATTTCTCTGATGCTTGCGCTCCGGAGTCCAAAGATAATTTTTTTGGCTCTTGCGCTGAACCCCGTGTGAGCTGGAGCAGCGTGGCGGAGAGGCGGCCGAGAAGCCGCAGGAATGAGGGCACGATGCGCCCTTCCTCCGGGAGGCGCCGATCAAAGCCAAATCTTTGACATCTGCTTAAAAAAACATGACCTGAAAGACAGCGAATGACCCTTTTCTGCCTGTGCTCTGTGCATGTGTCTGTCTGTATTTTTGTATTTAGTTTTTCATAGGTACTCGAGAAGATACAGTATTATTATTATTATTACTGTTGTTGATGTTGTTGTTGTTGTATTAATTATTATTATTATTATTATTATTATTATTATTATTACTGTTGTTGATGTTGTTGTTGTTGTATTAATTATTATTATTATTATTATTATTATTATTATTATTATTATTATAAAAGAGCATAAGCTACTCACGTCAATAAATGTATTTATTTTATTAACGTAAGTGCTTAAAAATTTCCGCGAACCTAAATAGAATAACTGTTTGCTGGGAGGGCAGAGTGCTTAATGTTTTATTCATATGATAATAGTATGTACAATATGTAGATAATCTTAGTACACGTGGTGTTATTTGGATGAACGAAATGCTCACGCTAATTCTAGTCAGAATCTTATTGCGTATTTGTGTCTACGTCACTGCACCCGCGACCTGATGTGTATCACAGCGTAGTGAATGGATGGTGATCTGATGGAGACGCCAGTGCTGGATGGACTGATAGGTGGAGTGGGTGGTTGAACAATGCAAGCAGGGCAAGCAGCCAGATAATCTGTGTTTCTCTGGCACCTAACAGTGGGGGTAAATTTAGGGGACGGGGTGGAAGCTTATTGGCTGGTGTTAACAGCCCCTCTTCAAGCAGACTGTTGGACTGTTGGCGCATAAATGCAGTCAGGGTAAGAACCCCCACCCCCTGTCCCAGGGTGAATACAAATAACATACTAAGAGGTGCACAATTACGGATGCCGTTGGTTGGTGATGTTTGGACACCATGAATTTTGAGAGCTGGAATGGAGACAGTGTGTGGCAGGAAGGCAGCTGTGCTTGGCAGGTGTGTCTGTTCACGTTCCTCCACTTATGCGTCTGGCTCCCCTCGCGACGTTGTCTTACCTCTGCCTGGTGTTTTACCTCTTAAATCGGTTTCCATGGATACAGGGGGGGGGGGTCCTCTTCCATCCCCCCAACCCCACCCCCAAATGCCAGGAAAAACAGAGCTCTCGTCCCAGTGGAAATCCAGTTTAGCATATTACCGATTGAAGGAAAACATGTTGATGTGCACTAAGAAAAATAATGTGCTCTTTTATTACATATAATTTGGTATTTCATAATCCTTAATAGGCAGTTGTTTTTTTTTTATTTATATGGTTGACACATCGCATAATCTATTGGTACACTTAAAATGTGCAGGTGTGGCAGTGCATGTGTCCCGCAGGACAAAGATTACAGAAAGCTGGGGATATGGTGGGAGTGTTGCCCCCCCTCCCTTCGCAGTAGGGGCAGTTGCTGAGTGGCTGTCACACAGGGTGTTGATGCTCCTGCATGTCTGCCCACCCGTCTGCCTGACGCATTAAATGCGCTGCTGCGTGTGGCTGTTTCGGTGCCTCTCTGCCTCGCTGCCTTTATCTCTTCGTCTTGCTGACCACAGTATCCTGTACGTATCCGGCGTTGCTCCGTCCACACACTGGCCGGTCTGTCCGCTGTGGCTCCGCCTCCACCCCCCCGCCCCCCCCCCAGGTCCCGTCATTTTCTGTAACATCACGAGTTGAGTAGCTCCCCCCTCAATGGCTTCAGATTCTTTTGAATCACCACACGGCCTTTGAAGGACTTCGAGGCAGCCTCTTCCCCTAACGGGAAGGGCAAGGAGAAACTTGGTATCCTTAGGACGATGGCGGGGAGATGGTTTCGTAGTGTCAGATGTATAAGAAAAGCGTATGGAAACAAACGGGGGCTGATGCACTGCACCACGGTGTAGAAAACCTCTCCAGTCCATTCTTCTGTTCCTTTATTGAGATGGCAGAACAGGGTGCTAGGTTGCAGTGATTTTTGGCACCAAAACATCTTGACTGGATGGTCACTGGTCGAACCCACTTGGACTATTCCAGCTACACCCCCTTCCTCTGTCCCCATGACTTTCATGCCTCTTAAGTGAATATATAGATGGAATCAGTCGCAGGCCACTGATTTGAACGGGGAATAACTGAATGGAGCATCAATGTTGCCAAGGCGATGGATGGGGTCGTTTTGAGGAGGATAACGACTGGGAATGTTCTGTTTCCGGCTTCTTGGCAAGGGACAAGGCCCGATGTAGGAGCTGGAACAGAGAATGACTTCTCACCATGTTATTTTGGGTATTTCACCCAGTGCAAGGTATTTGAGTGTATGTGTGTGAGAGAGCGTTTACAAAAATGATAAATAATCCAGATGGCATACAACTAGTTTGGATTTAGCTTTTTCATCGTTTGAGTAATCTCTTGACTCTTGTTGGCATGTTTTAGAAGTTGGGGGGGGGGGGTGGCAGGGGAGGAGCTTTTGGTGGTTTGTTTGGTGCAGGGGTTTCTGGGAAGGTGATGACATCATCAAGGAGTGAGTTAGCCGGGTGGTGCTGGCAGGCAGCCCAGACCCAGGGAACTTATTGTTTGCTGTCCCTCTAGAGGTTCCACAGGCATTTGCCGGGGTTAGCCTGAGAGCGGGATTGGCCGTTAACCCTGGTAAGGTTGTACGGAAGGTCACAGGAAGCAGTGGGCTCTTTCGTTGTTGCCTGCTTCCTTTCTGTACGCTGGGATCTTCTCCTCTTGTACGGGGAGAGTGACACGGTATGGAAGGTGTGGCTTTTAGCGTTGTATATCAAAAACAATGACGTATTGCTTGTCTGAATGCTTTCAGATTGCTTGTGGCTGGCGTGCAGCTCTCACTTCCTGGCTTATAATCGATTCCTGAGCTGAAGCAGACCGATGCTGAATGTGTCATTACTCTGTTCTTGCGTGTTGGTTGCCTGTTTGTGGGGGAGATACGTCAGCCAACCAGAGTTGAGCTCCGTAGATCTAATTTGCTTAGCCAATGTTTTTATCGAAAGTGACATACACCTGAGAAAGCAGGGTTAGACGGGTCGTGGGGTTAAGGATCTTGCTCAAGGAATCAACGGTGAAATCAATCTGTCGATCTTGGGATTTGAACCAACTAACTTTTGATGACAAGCACAGCATGCTGAGCCACATGCTGTCCCTTATCCTTTTTGTGTGTTGCTGTCGATTACCGCACATGGACAAACTGTAGTGGTCACCGCGGGGGGGGGGGGGGCGATGTGTGGCGAGGAATCACCTATCGAAAACCCGCAACCGATGGCATCCATATACCTGGTTCAGTGTGGTGGCGTCTGTGGGGCTCTTAGCCGTGTCGTACCCATGACCTCAGGGTTTGTGGTGGTTTGAATCCCTTGGCCGATGCTGTGGAACGAACTCGATTCCAAGATTGTATCTAAATCGCTGTATTTCTTACGCTGCATTAAATGCTTCTCTGGAAAAAAGCAGAGATGTGAAATGACAACATTAAATGCCTTCTTGGTTTTACTATCTGTACTAACTGAAATACATGCGCTTGGGCACCCGGATGAGGATGTGAGGCAGTGGAGGTGTATTGGGCTTATTGCTCTGGGTCAGGAGGTGAAGATGGGCTGGCGTTTGGAGACAGGGAGGGCGTGTTGGAGGGCATCAGAGAAGTCAGGGGAGAGAGGGGGTCCAGATTGGCATTTGTGCCGCTTTCTGGGGTGCATCTGCCTTCTGGATGCTGGAGGGGTTGGATCACTCTTCCTCCCTGCAGATGCATCCGGCGCCGAAGGTGAAGGATAACTGGGTCACGGCGGCTTAGAGCTGGAACTGCGCATTATGGTCCGTGGGCTTCATAGAAGCGAATTCTGTGACCTAAAGCTCCGACGGAAACGGCTAATGTCGCGTACCTCCACTCTCTCTTTTCTCGGGAATCTGACATGCACCTCTTTACGCGTGCCCAAACTTTGAAGAATTGTGGGAATTATGTCTTTTTTTTTTGCCCAGGAATTTGCAAACAAGGTAAAAATGAAAAGATACTAAAATAACTAAACTCCGTGTTTTCGAACATAAGGTCGTCCTGCTGGGACCGGGCTTCTAATTTGGTAATTTCAGGTAGGTTATGCTATCAATCTCTTTCTTTATTTTGCTGTTTTGAGGGGTGGGAGGTGTCCCAGGTGTTGATTTGAGCAAACAAAAGATTTATTTAATCTGGGTGTTCGACAGTGGTGGGCCATAACCAATTTACTTCTCTTTTGTATCTAGCTTTATACATCCCTGCGTTTTTGAAGTGTTGAGTTGTACTAAGTGGGTCTTCTTTGTCGATTTCGTAATTTGTTTTTTTGAAGTTGGGGGAGCGACTATATTATCTTATACCCGAAATCCTGTATTGCCCTCTGAAGTGACGGTTAGGCATCACAGGACACAGTAGAAACCAAAAGAGACGACGTGGAGGAGACAGGAAGTGTGGGGCATTAAGCTAAAATAATGATCGACCATCAAAGTTGGGATGGAGCTATCGGCTCTTATCGGCTATTTGAAGTTGCATTTTTGCGTTCGGCTCCATCCGGCGGTGAGGACCCCTTCTCGTTCCATTTCTGGAGAAGCGTTTAAAAAAATATGTGGACATCACAGTAGAGCACATTTACATAAATATGTCGTCTAAATGCATCATGTAACCTCCTATCTGGCCTCATATTATCTTTGGATTTAACATAGTTTTGAAGGTCTCCATTTTAAGATATTGAGGGAATGGTTGTCTACTTGTAAATCACTGCACCCCTGACTATATTAAATGCCTGTATCATTTTAGGC